ATGAATTAAGGAGTGTACACAGGTGCTGATTCAATTTGAAATTGTATGTTATTTTGTGCCCTTGACTGATTCCTGGAAAACTCTTCTTACAGTACATTCAAATGACTCTCACTGCACTTCCAAATCCCTGTAACATTGAAAATCCAAGGCACATTCTCTGAAAAGCTTGTAGACCTAGTTTAATTAAATATAGAGATTTTTAAGCTTTGTGTGACTATTGACTATCCCTCATATTTCAAATTTCTCCTACAAAAGTGTATCTTAGAAAAACATATTTATTGGATTAGATTTTTTTGTATATTCCCACATATATGAAAATTGTATGTTGATAATAATATAAGTTATCAGTTAAGATATTCCATATGTAGGACTGTACATCTTGACCTAATTATTAATATTTGTCATTTAAATAATGTCCTTTTATTTGAGAATAATGAAGTATTACGACACCAAAAAAACTTATTTCCAACTTTAGAGTAAAAAAGGTGATACTGTTCGATGCCCTGATGGTCAACATCATGAAAATACATTCACCCTTTCAATATACACACCTATCAGCAACAGTCATTGTAATAAGACATCTCAAAACAACAAATCGATTAATCAATTTCATTTTATTTCAATTTTGTCCCATTCAAACGTCTATACATTGTCCCTTGCCAGGCCCTCGGTCCTGCACCACTGACAAGGAGGAACCACGGCGGAATATCCATATGAACTTTCTCGGCAAACACAGGGATCGAACACCGGACCTCCTGGTTAGCGAGTCAATGTTGTACCCACTGAGCCTCCCTATTTCAATTTTGCATTTTCTAAAAAGTTGACAAAAACCAACATACACCATTTTGAAAGTGCAGAGATGATCATTTATTCATATACATTTACAGTGTGTCCATGTTTCTGTTGTCATTGTTAAAAACAATCTCTGAGTATGGGGATTTTGTGCTAGAAAGATTATCAGTCCTGAGGATAAAAAGGGTATTGGCTACAAATAACTCTTGGTGTGCACTGACCTTTATAAAATAACAAGATGCACTAATCTACAAGGAGAAAACTTGCATACATCTATCACAGATGTTTTCCTCTTTAAACTAAGTTATTTGCACTCAACTAAAATTGGTTTTAATTGACATATTTATAGTGTACTACTGATACTTGTCTAACAGAGTCTTAGAGCGGAATTGGTGTCAAAAGTAGGTCAACCATATACATCAAAAGGTGACAATCTTAAAATTACAATTTTTCCTGAATACTGTACATGAATAAGCATTAATACAGTCTGAATTAGGAGCTGTGAGAAAAAATGTCCACCCATTTCTACTACCGGTAAATTAAAGAAAGCAGTCTACTGTATGCCATTACTCAAGTAATAACTTCATGTTATGACATTTACAATTTCTTTTAAATTCCTGTTCAAACATGTTCAATAAAATAATAAATAAATATAAAAGGGGATTGTCTTTTACTCAAACCATCTTACATTGAAGGCCAATATGTTAATATTGTAAGATTAAAAATCTTGATGTACAAAAGAAGTTTATGAAGCAGTCCCATATTTCACAGGGCTATCAAACCAACTATCCATTAACAGAAAGGGTTTAGTTGTTATGCATTTTAAATGCCAAGATGTACAAAATCTGAGTGACTTGATAACTGTATGACTATTTGTCAGCAAGGCATGATGTATCCACATTCCACATAGTGATATAGCATGGAAATTGGGGACTTTTATTCAACACATTTTGAAAACTGAAAGTTCCTCTTTCTTGAAAAAGTATTAAAGTAGGCTTCAGTTTGTTGCACAAAACCAGGATAATGGTCTTGTAATACAGAATTATCCACTTTTATTCACTGAATCTGTCTAAGAAGATCACTCATTTAACATGAAAAGTTTGTTTCCTCACAGTTTTATTCATAATATTTTTGCAATCCTGATAGTCTTGATAGTTATCATTAATTTAATTGTTTGTAATAAAGTGAAGGGTTTATAGACATTGTACCGATAAGTACCAATAAACAGTATCACAGAATTGGATGAACATTTCAAACAGGAACTAAATAATGGACACATCTTGTGGATAACCTACCTTTTGTGCCATTCCCATCCTAAAGGATTGATCTACATGTACATGTACACCTTCCATGCACATAACAGTAAACTGGAGTAATATAGAGATTTGTGAAATAGCCTACTGACTCAATTAATGAAAATGCAGATTGCCAATAGCTGTATGTACACATTTAATGAATGACACACTTGGCACCAAAACACTGAAAAAATATTAACTACATGTAGAATGGGGTCATTACCATCATCTACATGAATCTCACATTATAATGCTGCTCTAACTCCTTGATCTGTCATCTTAAAACTAACAAGTATAACAACAAGGTCAGATTCATTTCGTCTGGGAAGAATGTGAGGCAGTCTTGTCGTACATGATTCAGAGATAAACGTTCTATTTGTACTTTTAAACTATGAATTTGCTGGTATTTTACAAATAATTTATTCATCTTATATCATAATTAAGTTATATACTATTCAAAAAAAGTAGGGGATATTTGATTTTGGGGGCATAATACTAAAATATGCAAATGACTACGAAAAAAGTCACAATAGAACCTAACAGAAGAAACATTTCCAGTTACATGTGACGCCCAAACGCATCAATAGCTACCGCATGGAATGCAGGTGATGCTTGGGATCATCATGGGGGTCCAACCCAAGATTTGCACGACTCTGACTTTGAATGTTACAGTCATTGTGGCATTGAATTCCAGGGTGGAAACATCAGTTTAATTGTTTTAGTGACCAGAAAACAAATCTTGATATGCGTCGGCTTACCCAAAATGAAAGGTTACGTGCCCTTGGCATGCTACAGATCGGCACAACACAGGCGGTTGTGGCGCAGACGATGAATGTTTCTCAGTCTGTCATAAGCAGGCTATGGTCCAGATACCGTGATACACAATCTGTACAGGACAGACCACGCTCAGGTCGACCAAGGGCGACAACTCAAGCCCAGGATCGATTTATCCGTACCTTGGGCTTGAGAAATCGTGTCATCACAGCAAATCAGATCAGCGCTCGTCTTCAAACAGACACTGGTGTGAGAGTGAGTGGCCAGACGATTCGGAATCGACTGCATAGGGGTCACCTTCGCGCCCGACGTCCTCGCGTGATCCCTTGTTTGAGAGATCATCACATTCAGGCAAGACGTCGTTGGTGTAGGGATCGTCAACACTGGGATAATCGACGCTGGAGCAATGTGATGTTTTCAGATGAGTCAAGGTTCACTGTTGATATTTTGGACAGACGTAGGAGGGTGTGGCGTCGTCGAAACGAGCGCTTCCAAGACGTTAACGTCATCAGACATGATCGATTTGGGGGTGGTTCTGTTATGGTGTGGGGAGGCATCACTGTTGCTGGAAGAACGGCTTTACATGTTGTTGCAGGGCGTGTTACAGGCCAGTACTACCGGGACAACATCTTGGCAGTCCACGTTGTGCCGTTCGCACGACGTCATGGCCGCCGTTTCATCTTCCAGGATGACAACGCAAGATGTCACAGGGCCAGGATCGTTACAGGTTACCTCCAACAACAGAACATCACCACATTACCTTGGCCAGCACTGAATCCCGACCTCTCCCCCATCGAGCATGTCTGGGACATGCTTGGACAGAGGTTACGTCAACGTCAACAACGTCCTGCCAATGTCCAAGAACTTGCTGCTGCGTTGCAACAGGAATGGGACAATCTGGACCAAAATGACCTTAGACGTCTCATTAGGAGTATGCCACGTCGGATCAATGCTTGTTTGGCAAACAGAGGAGGATTTACCCGTTACTGACTTGGTTGTGATGCTGTGGTAACTTTGCTGTTTGACCCCGGGTATCATTTTACCCTTAAATTGGTCAGTCTGTGCCTTACTTAGTCTAACGATCATTTGGAATAAATCGATGAATGTGAACTTCATTTCATTTTGTCATTTGTTTCTTCGTCAGTTTCATTAGGTGACTTTAATAACACTTAAAAATCAAATATCCCCTACTTTTTTTGAATAGTATATAATGTTTTCAGTAATCAAATAGTGTAGCCTATACATTGAAATATTTATGAATTCATGAAATCATTCAGATTACCGTATGAATATTATATAACAGTAAGTTGCCAGCAGTTGTAACTTTCCAATTAATTGCAGAAACAGAAAACTTAAGTACCGGTAGCATTTGCTATTTCCAACTGAATATGCAATACATTCCTCTCAAGCCAGTTGCATACTCAGAAATTTATGATAATTATTCACTAAAATTATTGGTCTGACATCATCTAATATTTATTATACATTTCCAGACAAGATCCAGCAAAGAGTTTATATTATGAATGAAATAGAGTGCATAATCATGAAGTATATGTGAAAATGATAAGTGGGTCTAGGGGTGTTGATAACAGAAGCAATGATTAGAACTTTACAAAATGTCATAGATAACAGTTAGCATCAAACAATGCTCTTTTATTCTGCATCCTTTTGCAACTAGAGTAAACTGTATCTACTGAATTCACCCCCCTCCCACCACCTTCATAATATTTTTATTTATCCATGCAAAACATAGGCCTACCTATAGAAAAAAATAAAGGCTAATGAAAACTATTTTTTTAAAAGTAGAAAATTAAATAACAAAGAGTGAAAGACAATAGTGCGATCCAGCCAATAATATATAATATATAAAAACATTTTGGTAAATTTATGTGATCAAGAATAGTAGCCTATGGATGCATTTATCTATAGTTATCAGCTGTAACGCTTAGCATCAGGGGTACACAGATAGCAGCCGTGACCTCAAACAACTGATAAAGAAGAGAAACGTCGAATCACAGACTTACAGGAACTAGGCTACCGCTGTACCCCTGAAACTTATCCTCGAAAACTTTTCCTGTAATTTAGCACTCATATTTAAAGCCACTTACAGTCACAATTTCTTGGTTTTCTGATACTTACCAATATAAACAATTTTTATGCTGTTAATCCCTGGAGTTTGAAAAGTCTATGTTATTCCAAACACAAGTAATTAACAAAGTAACCAAGTTCTTCCTTGAAGAAACCTATCTCACACGATATAAGCCATGTTGAATAAAACCAAAACAATCCCGCGGTCAGTAACACGTGCTTGAAGTTTAGTGCCAATCTGACTAATTAGAGCAAAGTTTCGCTTGCGTCCCTTGAATAATTGGAACAATAGTTCAATTCTGATATATAGACTAGGCCATGATAATCACATATCATGCACAAATCCTCGTCGTAACTTGGAAAACTTAGCTGTCAATTTCACTCTATGAAATATACGCCATGCGTGTACTGACATTGAACTATGGGTAATAGCAGGTACTTGAAATTACTACGCTACATTATTTTTATCTGGTACCTGTTGACTATGACATTATTGTATTCTAATATTGACATTAACGGCTTCAAATAAGTAACATAATCATCTTTTGTATATTCTATTTCAAAAACAAAATGACGAGTGTTTAAATATTAAGGGACTATTTTTTTGTCTTGCGTCGGCTGCTAGCCTGTGTTAAGCTTGACAACATGACGCTATCTGTGTCGAGCCAACGATGTTGATGGCTTTTTAGTAGAATTCTGCTTCACGCTGGTGTGACAGCATTAAATTAACATAGATCTTAAAGTTGTGGGGATTGAATTTCATCACGTGATTTCAAATGGTTGTTAATTTTAAGCTTTGGTTTGTGAAAAGATCTAAGAAGGTGTGAATATATCGCAAGTCAGCTTGATGAAAGCTGATTAACTGAATATCGTTGTATAGTAGTAGCAGTTTACATACCGAGCCAGGGACCGAAGCTCAAGCCGTTTAGATTACAGGACAATAGAATTATACCCGTAAAACTTTGGACGCGAAATTTGAAACTTTATTTCATAACCTGATCGCAGGGGGCCATCTGCGTACATCGAAGGCCAGCTATGTAATTTGGTAAAGCTATGTTTATCTACCAATTTCATCTTAAAAGTATTTTTAGTTAAATATAATATAAAAAAAATATTTAAAAAAGAGTCGACATTATCTTTTTGCTTTTTGTTACTTTCCACGAGTGTAACTTAAAATCTGTTTTAATGTGTATTAATTTTGACATCAATTTTGATTTAGAGTTTTATGTTACAAAGAAATTTTCATGATATGTTATATGCCATTATTATAACAAATATCGAAATTGGAAACGCGTCTTATTTTCATGGCTATCTCTCACGTCAATAACAGGTTCACGTAACCCTTAATTCACATGCAATTTAATGAGTAGAGAAGTACGCGTATTAACAAGACATACAATTATGTTAGTGTGTAATTTTAAAAAAAAGAAGTTTTATTGAATATAAATATAACGATGTCATGTATAGGCCTACACATATTTCACGGATATTAGTTATGCTATAAATGCTTCTTTAATATAATAACAAATTCCCCAATGATTTTAATACACAATCGCTTGAAAACTAGTCTTTTTGATAATTTTTAAGTGGCATTTAGTTTTTGAGTTTTCGGTCAATGTCGGATACTAGACTTATTAACAGTCTGGTCGGGTGTTCGATCCCTGCATTGGCCGAGAAAGTTCATCCAGATTTTCCGGCGTGGTTCCCCCTTATCAGTGATGCAGGACGGAGGGCCTGACAAGGACAGCTGTCTAGTCCTTCGGATGACACGAAAAACCGAGGTCCCGTGTTTACATTGGAATGCACGTAAAAGATCCCTTGGCAGTTGGAATTCGATATAAGAGTAGGCGATAGTGCCGCTGCCCGGGCAAAATTTCCCTCATAGCACACTGTATGGCGTATGCCCGTCTTCATTAGCCCAGCATAGGAGCAGAACAGTAGGACGTTAAACCCCATTTCATTTCATTTCATTTATTAACAGTCTATCCATTACTACCCTCCCCAATGCAAACGCAGTGAGTAAGGATTTAGAGTTCGGGTAGAAAACCAAGTGGACAGATTCTTAAATCGGTCAATTTCAGGATCAAATTTTTAAATTCAATTAAACCCCGATTAAAAAATCTCTGCCGCTACGTCTCAAAGATTATGTTTTGTGGTGCAATTATTCTGCTTTATATTGGACTGACTTACAAGTTGCAGGGCATCTTTAAATGAATTAGAATGTATTTGGCATTTTAATACACACAATAGCAAGTACGTATCACAAAATATATTCAAACATGGAGGCGCCAATTAAGAAATGAAATGAAATGGGGTTTAACGTCCTACTGTTCTGCTCCTATACTGGGCTAATGAAGACGGGCATACGCCGTACAGTGTGCTATGAGGGAAATTTTGCCCGGGCAGCGGCACTATTGCCTACTCTTATATCGAATTCCAACTGCCAAGGGATCTTTTACGTGCATTCCAATGTATACACGGGACCTCGGTTTTTCGTCTCATCCGAAGGACTAGACAGCTGTCCATGTCAGGCCCTCCGTTCTGCACAACTGACAAGGGGAAACCACGTCGGAAAATCCAGATGAACTTTCTCGGCCAATGCAGGGATCGAACACCCTACCTCCAGGCTACCGAGCCAGCGTCTTAACCACCTAGCCACCGTGGCTCCCACGCTAATTAAGAGTGTTATTGGAAAATGGCCAATTAAGAGTGTTACTGGAAAATGGTCGAGGCGCAAACGCAGAAACTACAGTTTCTGCCATTAGTTTTATGTAAAACTGGCGTGGATTATTGTTCGGTTAGTCTATTGAAATTGGGGGTTGCTCTTGTTGAAAATACACAGCCTCACAGTACATCGGATTGTATATTCGGCATAAATCACCCACTATAACTTCCACGCGTATGAGTACGTCAAAAAGTCAATAATGTATACATTGTGGATATCCCTTGTCTAATAAATCATGAAATGCATACAATAAACGCGTAAAACTGACTATATACATGTAATTAAAACCCCACAGCCAATACATGTGTAATATATTCTTTATAAACGCACACTATTTCAATGGTTACTGTAATCAAAATGAATTCAGAAATGAAGATAAATACGGGTCAGAATCAAGATATTTTATGTCTACTGTATACGTTCTAGTTTAATATTTTCGATTTATTGCGATAGGGTGGAAAAGGCGTTGCTATGTATTGTGCACGAGGCAATTTATCCCTACTTTCTGGAACAACTGATATACCACCAATCTGATTAAAATACAGATCTATATATGGTTTACACTACATGAAGATCTGAGCAGTTGTACTGGGAGGTGGCGTCAGCGGTCATACGAGCGGCTTTTGACCTATGGCGTCAGACACTGATTAATAAATCAGCGTTGACGTTTCTAGGGGTTTACCCACAGTTCCGTGCAAAGCACGCCAACAACTCGCCGTAACAGACCGTTTCATTGGCTAATTCCGCACATCAACTAGAAAGCCTGTTAGAACAACTCTTAAGTGGCAAAAGTGGGGTGGGTAATTACCGAACTCACTTGAAATTACCGGAAGTAATCATTAGGAAGCTAGAAATTAGTATAAAATTGATAAAAGTTGCACAAATTATAATCATTTCCCCATTTTCAGTGATGCGGGACGAAGAGCTTGGCAAGGAACAACGTCTGAACTTTCGGATGGGCTGGAAAACCGAGCCGCATACACGTCGCAGCTTGGTATGCAAGTAAAAGAATCTTTGTCAAAGATAAACTTTGCAATAGTTAGCCACCTTTCTTTAATTTGCCGCACCAAGTTATAAATATCTACTGCTGTATGTTCAAACTGATCGGTACGTTTTAAGGGATCCGTCTTATGATTATGAGCTAATTCGAGTTCTGTATATTTTGCATCGATAGTAGGGGTGCATCAATAACGTCTTTTTTCGCCAATTCCTTTAACGCCGAGTGGTCTCGTAGTCGAAATAGTGTGTTATTTTCGAATTTGGTCGGTGTTTCGATGAAAAATCAATTTTTTCAGTTGGACACCAGTTAAAATTCAAAATCCTATTTTCGAGCATAATTTACCCGTATTATAGATTATTACACCCCCATAGTGACACATACGATCAATTTTGACATCTTTCATGAGCTGATAACAACTGATGTGTCCTGTCTTTCTTTTACACCAGTAATATTTTGATTTCCTTGAGGTCGGATACCAGTCAAAATTCAAAATATGGCGGCCAAATTATAGATTATTATACCACCATAGTGACACATACGATCAATTTTGACATTTTTCATAAGTTGATAACAACTAGTGTGTCCTGTATTTCTTTTACACCAGTAATATTTTGATTTCCTTGTGGTCGGATACCAGTCAAAATTCAAAATATAGCGGCCAAAACTGATGCCCTCAAAGCGAATTAGCACTGTTTCTCAAACGTGTACTTGTAATATGACATTTCGTTATGATTTTGAGTTCAGAGAGCTCAAATCTATTAGAAATATCCATTTTCAACTGCTCTGATACATGATAAAGGGGTTGGATACCAAGCAAATTCAAAACGGCAGCCGAATTTTCACATGCCATTTTGCACGTCTACAAAAAGACCGAGTGAACAAACAATAATAATCAATAACTGAATACAGAACTGACTAACTATAAAAACTAGAATCGTTAAAATATAACACAAGGGATTATATAAACCTTTATTTGTGTTTTAACAAAGTATTCAGAACTGTACATATATACAACCAATAGAAAACACAATAATTTCAATAGAAAAAGCGCGCTGTATCATAAAGTCTGTCATTGAGTCAACTGGCGTGGTTTCGAATCCCCGGTTGTACGTGACAAGGAGTTGGGTCGCCTGTCCAACCTCGTGGGTTTTCTCCGGGTCCTCCGGTTTCCTCCCACTTCTAAAGACCCCTACGCGCAAGCGAATTATTGAAATAAAATTAAACCATATGTTAGTCCCGAAATGACCTAGTTTGTGTCGAGTGGACGTTAAACCCCATTTCTCTCTCTCAATAGAAAAATATCTACGCAAAATTCTAGGAAAACAAGACGATACTAGAAGCCATCCACAAAAAACGACTCGAGCTCAACCGAGATGTTGGTATCTCCTACCCAAAGCTTATGGCCCTTTAATTTTAAGTAATACTTAATGCCAGGAACTGTTTCACATCACAAGATATATACCATCTTTTAGCTTTATATAATTTCAAATATGTTTCCAAATAAGCAGTTATGTGTATACGATGTAACTAGATCCATCAGTATATTATCTTTATGTACGTTATGTAATACTACTTCATGTCACAATACAAATAAGTCCTATATGAATATCATAATAATGAAGGTGCTTTTTCACCATTCACTTTATGCTCTTTGACATCCAGAGACATTTATTATGACTTCACCT